CTCAGGACTGTGTTCTCCATCGCATATGTGTAACTGTTTTTGAAACCTCTAGGTAGAGCCTGAAGGTCTCCCAAAATTACAGCTGTTCTCCAGGCTACAGAGCTCTGTTCCCCTGGGAAACATAGCTGCTTTGGAAGGTGGACTCTATTGCATTACATCCTTGATGAGCTCCTTTCCTAAATTCTACCATCCCCAGGCAGTGCACTAAATCTCCAGGGATTTCTCAAGGTGGGCTGTACATATTTTGAGGAATCCCTGCTACTGGATTAGAGACTAGTCTATACTCCCCCCTTCTGGATGTGAACTTTGCACTTGTCAATTCATATAACTGCGAATCCCTTCTGTTTTTGGAAAGGAGCAAGGGACTAGCCCAAGGCTGTGGCTTCCATGCTGGATGTCGGAGCTGTAGAGGCAGGCTTCTCCTTGAGGCCAGGCCTTGTCAAAGACATTGGGGCGAACAGAACAGCTGCTTTACCTTCTCTCCCCTGCTCCGCTCCTGTCTTCTGAATTATTAACGGCTCAGTTCTGCTGGCTCATCTCTCGGGCTGACGTCAGCCCGGGTGCAGGCCTCGCACGCACAGACAGCCCTTTCCCCCGTGGGTGTGGGATGGAAGAAAACAGCCCGTTACCCAGCAACATGAAGAGAGAGGCAAGATACCCTGGAAGATTTCGTGTGGTGCCCATCTGTTCTGAATGTACCCCACCTTCCCTCAAGATCTGCCCCCCCTTACCTTAGCCTGTTCTCATCTCTCTTGCAAGTAAAGAGCTTGGCTATCCAAGCCTCTCTTTATTAAAATATCATTATTATTATTATTATTATTGCAATTAATAATTATCCACCCCTTTATTTCTTTTCTAGTGTGATCTTAAATCATATCTATCGAGGCAAGAACGTGGGGTTTGACTGGCTTTGTTTGAGCTTTGTGCATTTTAAAAACAAGAACAGTTCTTAGCCAAGTTACAAAAAACAGTTGTGGAGCATTTTTACATATCTTTTTTTTTAATTGTTTTTTTTACTGTTTTTCTTCCCAATGGGGACCCAAAGTGGATTACATCAGTCCTCTCTCTGTTTTATCCTCACAACAACCGTGTGAGGTAGGGTAGGCTGAGAGTGTGTGACTGGCCCAAGGCCACCCAGCAAACTTCCATGGCAGAGTGGGGATTCAAACCTGGCTTTCTCAGATCCTAGTCTGATACCTCTCCGGCATTTTAAAGCGTAGGAGATGTATTATATAGTGTAAGTTTCCTTCGATGAAAAGCCCAATTTGTCTCATGCAGATCCTTGAATAGTAAGGAAAGATCTAGATGTTGGACTCCTAAGCTTTTTAAAGTAAAGAGAAATCCAGTGAGCTCTGACTCATGAAAGCATATAATGGTATACATTTTGTTAGTCTTCAAGCAGTCACTGGACTTCTGTTTAATTTTGGTGTAACAAACAGGGCTACCCCTGTGGAAAACTGCCTTCAAGTATTCTGAACCGGTCACTCCTGCCCCATAGGTCTATGCCAGTAAGTGTGGTCTGTGCTTTTTGTAGCTAGGTTGTTCAAAAGCAAAAACCAAAATCCAGCTGAAGTCAAAGCACTTTAATTCAGTGGGGAAAATGTAACCATATGCTAGGGTTACCATATTTTGAAAAGCAAAAAAGAGGACGTATTTCCCAACTGACTACTTCAAACAAGTGCTCATTCGACAAAGCTCATTTTCAATACTCCTATTTAAGCTGTGGTAATTGCCACTAACTAGGAATATTCCTAACCTTCCAACCCCCCCCAAAAAGGATATTTTCATGAGTTTCTTTAAAAAGAGCCCAAAAGACCACAGACACCCCCCCCAAGACACCTGGTGACCCTACCATATGCTCAACTCTCAAAGCAGTAGGATGAACCTAACTGTGCTCAAAATGTCACAAAATGATTCTGAGCCAAGTTTAAATGTATCTACCTCTGGTGTTGTCTTCGTCTCTATTGATGTAGAGATCAGGCCACTAATGGTTAGAGAAAGGGTAGTGGTGTCCCCACAATCTACATCAGAGGTTCCCAAATCTATTTGGCCTACCGCCCCCTTTTCAGAAAAAAAAAAATTACTCAGCGCCTCCTTGGAAATCTACCTTCAAAAAGTGGACAAAAAGATGCAGTGACAAATTTGCACCCAAGGCTCCTACCACCCACCAGGATCATTCCAACGCCCCTCAGGGGGCGGTACTGCCCACTTCGGGAACCAGTGATCTACATGGTTAGGGTGGCGAGCTGAGTAGTAGAAGAGAAGAGATTGGATTTATACCCCGCCCTTCACTTGGAGTCTCAGAGCAGCTTACAAACTCCTTTCCCTTCCCCTCCCCACAACAGACACCCTGTGAGGTGGGTGGGGCTGAGAGAGCTCTGACACAAATGGCTCTTTTTCAAGGACAGCTGTGCCAGAGCTTGTGACTGACCCAAGGTCACATCAGCAGGTGCAAGTGGAGGAGTGGGGAATCAAACACAGTTCTCCCAGATTAGAGTCCGCGCACTTAACCACTACACCAAACTGGCCCTACAAACCACTGTTTCATACAATTTTCTTCACCAAAACCAGTTCCCTATATCCAGGGATTTTTTTCCCTTTTGAAAAGAAGGTGCCGGAACTCTCAAGAGGGAAATGAAGTTTGCAATCTGTATAGTGAAAACTCATGAACTCGTTTAAAAGAATTTTGTTGAAGAGGTTCTGGAACTCTGTTCCGGAGGGTTCCCCCAGGGGAAAAAAAAAAGCCCTGCATCTTTGTGATGATCTAAATGAAGAAGGACTGGTGCTCCTTGACTTTGGTGACAGGTGCACGTTACATGCATGTCATTTCACATATCTGGCTTTAGGTACCCTCTGGCACAAGCTAGGCTTGCCAATCTCCAAGGCGAACCTGGCGACCTTCCCGAATTACAACAACTGCACTCCTGACTACTGAGGAAAATTCCTATGAACAAAATGGCTGCTGTCAAGGGTGGAGTCCCTGCTGAGTTCACTCCTCTCCCCAAACCCTGCCCTCTCCCGGCTCCACATCCCAAATCTCCATTCCCCAACCTGGAGTTGGCAACCCAACGAGGGCACCACAATGTGTTTCTTGTGCGGGTGACAGTTTTGCCTAGGTTGGGCCCTGGATGCGGGCGCCGAAAAGTCCCCCCCCCAAAAAAAAGCGCCACCACCAGAAGCCCAAAATACTGCTGGAAATGTGAAAAGGGGCTGCCGTGAGGCCACTGAGGCAGGGTAGCGAAAACCACAATGCCCAGAAGCCTTTGTGAGTCCTTTCTTTCTCCACCCTCGCTCCCCCTCTTTTCTTGAATAGCAGGTGCATAGGCCGCGGGGATGCGCTGAGCGAACGCGGCGCATGCGCCAGCGCCAGCTAATTGAGCGCGCGCGCTGCGACCGTTAGGCGCGGGGAGGGGCGCGTATCTCGCGGTCGCGCGCACAGGCGGGGGACCAGGGGCTGCGCCTGAGGGGAAGGCAACCTTGGTGGATGCTGCACGCCCGCGTGCTACCGCCACGGGAAAGGGGGGGGGGCGCGTTCGTTTGCGCTGCGCTACTAGAGCGCGCTGGGAACGAGCCGGGGGCGTGTCCATCCAGGAGATGCGAGAGAGCGGAGGGGGCTGGGCGTTGCCTAGCAGCGGAGGGACGTATATAAGCGACCGCCCAGCCGTTGCTCTTCCCGTTCAGTCTCCGCTTTGAGGGTCTCTTGGTCGGAGTCGTAGGTGAGCCGGGGGGGATGCGGCTGCGGGGCAAGGCGCCTTGTGGGAGGGAGGGGGTCGGGGTGAGGGAAGGGCAGGTCTCCAGAGGGGGCCTTCCAGGTAAAGTGGAGGCAGAGGGCGGGGGATGGGGGGACCTGATAGGGTCTCTCCTGAGGGGCAGGCGTCGAGGGGCGAGCCATTAAAATGGGTGTGGGGGGGAAGTGTCAGTTAATGACTGTCTAGCCCACGGTGTGCTCTTGGGCTGCAAAATGGTGGGCTCAGTAGGGATGCCAGTCTCCAGGTGGGGCCTGGGGGATCCCCTGGAATTACAGCTCACCCCCAGACTACAGACACCAGTTTCCCCGGAGAAAATGGATGCTTTGGAGGGTGGGTTGGCTTTGGAAGGAAGGACCTCTGTGGTTTAGTTACAAAAGAATGCCTTTCTTTGGAGTGGAGCCGCAGGAGAAATGGGATGATGTAGTTCGTACTCCCTGTATCCTCCTCTCGCTTCTCAAGAGCTGCGCCTTTTCTCCATTTAACCCCCCCCCAAACAACCCTGAAGGGTGGGCTTTTCTCTTCTGCCCTCCCTTCTCCTGCCTTGGCCAGCAGGCGCGCCACTTGCTCTCTTCTTTTATCCGTCTTGTCCTCACAACAGCCCTGTGAGGTAGGCTAGGCTTGCAAGGCTGGCTGGTCCAAGGTCACCCCATCAGTGTTATGGCAAGGGTGGATTTGAACCCTGCTTTCTTGAGCTGTAGTCAAGCCCTCTAACCACTGCGCCATGCTGTCTGGGGTGGGAAGTCACGTACAGAGAATGCTGTTGCTTGTTTTCTTGGGGGGGGGGTTGGCTTGATGCAGAGCCCTGAAGTAGCCTTCCACAGTTGACGACTGCAGATGGTGACAATCTTCCAATGAGCAGCTTGGTGTATTTCTCTGTGGTACCCCCTCCCTGCCCAAGCTTTAGCGAGGAAAAGTATGTCAGGGGTAAAAATAGAGGCCTCTGGATGCGGGCAATATAAGGTGCTACAGGTTAGATGTTAAAACTGGTTTGTGATGCCTGGGTGGAAGGGAGTTGTGGGGTGTTAGGAAGTGTGGATGGTGGGAAGCGCTTTGTGGACTGGGACTGGCAACTGTAGGGGGAATGGTGTCAGGTATGGGTTTGATAGCCTCCGGCTTTTCACAGAAGAATGGAGTAGCCTGGGATGAGAAAGAGAGAGACTCCAGTAACCTTCATTAAATGGATGTTCTAGGAAAACATTGGGGATATTTCCCCTAGTTAAGGATGAGCAATGAAGCCCCCTGCCCCCCCTTGCACCAGAGGCGCTAGTGAAACGCAAGGGGAAGAGGATGATGCAGATTCTTCTGGTGCCTTTTTTTTTTTGGGTCGCTGTACTGTGGATCTCTCCAGAAACGGAACTGCGTCAGGGAGAAATGACTGGAGACCCAGTTTTGGACAATCACGTTTTATAGGACAGGGTTGTAGATGGGCAGTGCCTGTCTATCTCTTACGCAACAGGAACACATTGCATTCCTTCCTCATCGCTGGTTACAGGGATTTGGGGGAAAGCAGATGCTGCGTTTCTCTCAGGGCATCTAAAAGCTTAGTCTGTTTGGCTGCTTGTCAGGGGGAGGGCTGGCTGAGGTACATTAATCAGAGCTTCCCACAGATCAGATGGGGAAAAATTATGAAGGGGCTCTGCTCTTTGCTGCAGTATCAATTTCAGATGAGAAATGAAGCTTGTTTTTATAGCTACTAAAGGCTAATTTTTCTAACATTCGGGCACCTCTCGTGTGGATGGGGAATCAAGACCCTTATTGCCTAATATTGAGTCCTGTATCAATTTTCTGAGATCTGTTGCGCTTATGTGACTGTGACTTCGGTGAGATTAGCAACGATGGTAATCTGCTGCGTGCAAGCAGGCACGTTCTAGAGAGCAGCAGGTGAAAGGGAGCCAGGATTCTCTCTTCTGGACGGCAGGAATTTAAAAGCTACTTCTCTGTAAGTGACAAAGCTATTAAGAGCAGGATTAACCTGGTTCTTCTGCATAAGATAAGATTTTTTTTAAACTCCAGAAGGAGTATGTTCAAGGCTAAGAATACACCGTTATGTTCCATGTTCACAAAAAAATACTTGTAAAATATTCTGAAAGTCTCCACTGCCATTGTGCGCAGCAGCAAGCTGTTATCTTGTTCCCTCTTCCCTGTGTTCTGCAAGCAGTGAGGAAGAGAATATGACTAGCCAGGTTAACATCGAAGTAGAGCAGACTTCCTGTCTAGGCTATCTGTAAATCCAGAAACAGAATATTTATGGGAAGAGAATGGTAAATGTGACAGCTGAAAATCCATATCTAAAGTGTTTCTGCATAGTAGTGCCACAGATAGAAACTGAGAAGTTTATTACTTGATCTTGTGCAGAATTAGGTGACCTAAGCTCTTGGAAGTCAGTGGATTTCGGTGCACCTAACTCTGCGTAGCATCAGAATGCTAGAGGCTTCTCTCCTGCCTCTGACTCTCTCCCAAGGTCACACAGCCTCTGCGCCAGGATACGTTGACTGTACAACATTCCAAGGCGGCGCCTACGTGCCATGGCCACTTTGGGCTGGGTTGTGTTGTCCAATATACTGTTCTGTGGTTTGGCACTCTGCTCCTGGCCGCTGAGTGTCACTGCAGTGTCTGGATGGCTGCAGTGGGATGGTCCTTGTCCCCGATCAGACTAGTCCTTCTGAACTGGGGCAAATGGAAAATAAGCAACAGATGCCATTTAATGCAGCCAAATGTTGTCAAGGTTGGAATTAACGTTTGGCTTGGCAATCTGTTCTAAGTTCCAACAATCTGTATGGTGTAGATGTGGCATAAGTGGAACATTCTGAGAATTGCAAGAATTAATGCGATTCTTAATATATATATATTGATATGTCTTTACAGACATGGAGAACAAGCCCTTTCTGTTGCTGCAGTATCCTTATAGTATATTCTGTTGTGGGAAGGGCAAAGATTAAAATCAGTACGGGGGATATATGTTGTTGTGAAAATGTGCTAATGCGTAACAGGTCACAAAACACTAAAGGATCTGCCAGTGGTCTGAGAACAGTGATTCTGTATCTGTATGCAAAGATATAAATGTGTCCAAGGTACTGCAGAGGTGAGCTGGGTGTACTGAAATAAAATGGCTTCTGCTTTGTCATTATGGTTTGCTTCTTTCTAATAAACAAGTGAGAATGCTGTGAGTGTGATTCTGCTAAAATGCAGATCTGTTTTTAATTTAAAAAAATGGGTGGATTATTTTAATACATTCTTGTTAGGGGTCACTCTAGGATTGCTCAAGTTAGCAAAATGGCTACCTTGGTTGTATAAAATGAATCATTTTAGAAGCTTTGGGAAGTGGGGGTCCAGAGATTTGGCCCTTTGGGAATGCAGCCATAATAACACATTTTGCTGCCGGTAGAATTGTATGCTGCAGAGGGTCTGGACTGCTGCTGTCCCAGAAGGAGTTACCACTTGCTTTGGGCAAGCAGGTGAGTAGTTAATGGAAAGGTTTCCATATGACACCTGGGGGTTCAGGATCTTACTTTGAAGCCACATGCCACTGTGCTACATTGTCCTCTGCATTTTGGAAGGCCAACAGGTAATCATGTTTTTACAGGTGAGCTAATGTGTGGCATTGAAGTGATCTTGTCCAAGGTCAAAGTTGTGAGATGTCAGAAGTTGGGGATATATGACTATTTGGAACCGCTAAAACCGTATTTCTCACTGAGACTCAAGGCGGATTACAGAATACAAAAAGAATCTGAGAGCAGAAATCAAAGCAGAGGTCTCAAGCTATCAAGAGGAAAACTGAGTCTTGATAATATCTTCCCTTGCATATTAAACTTTTCCCAGTTACTCATAGAAAGACCTAGCATGCTCAGGAACAGAGACATCCCTCCTCAGAAGTCTGAGCTGTGGTAATTAGAGGAATTTTTTTTTTGCATTGCTGGGAACTGTGTTTAAATTTAAATGGAAATCTAATTATGCTTAGGTCATTGATGGGGAGGGGGGCAAGGTGCCTGGTAATCTAAAATGCTGAAGAAGCTCAGATACCAAACCCATTCATAACATCTTGCCAGTAGTAACATATAGCAGGCTGTAGTTAAAATTTATGTCTGTAAGAGTGCATGTAGACATCTCATGGACTTTTAAGCCTCTGTTTTAGATGCCACATGTATTGAGTCAGCAGAATATAAAGCAAAGTTACAGTTATCCTGCTAAATGCAGGTGAGGGGGCTCACAAACACACCAAAGTCAGGTATGATTATGTAAGACTTCAGAATTTGAAGCTGCCCTCTGTTATGCAGTAGCCATGTAGCAGTGGACATGTGCTTTGGGGTATAAATGGATTTGCTGTGGTGCAATCCTAAGCAAGAGTCTGAAGTTCATGGGCTTAGAAGGGCCTTAACTCTGTTTGGGGTTGTTGTGTAACTGTCTCAAAATGCTTAGCTCTTCTAGTGCTCTACCATGTCCTCCAGGGCAAAATTACTGCTACTTTAAACCTGCAGGCTACATGCTCAGGCCACTGAAGCCCAGAAGTCATGCGTGTAAGCCTGAAAGGCCTTGAAATGGCGATTGGTTTGTTGACCGATTTACATGCTTTTACAGGGGTACTGTTCAAATGGGCAAAGTTCCAATGAGAATTTTCAGTGGGTTGCTATAGAAGAAGAAGAAGATTTTATTGTATTTAGCCATGGGCCATTACAAACCACAGACAAAGAAGAACACACTAAAACTTTAAAATTGTATAAAATAAGATACAGTCCAACATTATAAATCCATAAAATCGAGGTTATTGGCGCTTATGGAGGTGCTGTATTGAGAGTGGGGGAGCTATGTCAACAGTGCTGATTAGATTATTGTTCATTTGAAGATTAACGGGGTGGGTTTATAAGGTTTCCTAAATCTGTTACTTTAGGCTATGGCCCTACAGCCAAACAGCACCCCTACTCAGTAATGATGAGGAAGATTAACAAATACGTTTTGTAAGAATCACCTTAACTGTTATTGGTTGTACAACCAGCCTACAGAGAGAGTAAAAAATTCCTCCTTGGCCCGTTATACAATGGGCCATACTACTCAATGAACAATAGCTTCAGCTTGGCCAGTGCCACAAAGACAATAGTGGTGGGCCACAGAAATATGATCATAGGTTCAGAGAAGTGGAAGGCACAGGTTGAAACTGAGGCTCTATAAAAGTTTGCCTTAGATTAAAGTAAGAGCTCATAAATTTTTAAATATATTTTTTATTTTTGGAAACCGATTAAAGTAAGAGCTCATAAATTTTTAAATATATTTTTTATTTTTGGAAACCAAAGATCTCATAAATATTGAGACATGCTATGATCCTTTTTGCATAGTGATGTTAATTTTCTGGGTATTAATAAATCTTCTGATGCCTTGAACACAGCGTCCTTTGACTTTTATTCAGTAAATAAAAATTTAAAAGTACTCTATATTAATCTCATGTCCTAATAGCAACAAATCCTTGACCAGAAATTTGATACGGAAAAATTGAATCCAGTATGAGTTAGATGTTGTATTCCAACAAGCAAGGAGCTGGATGTGGGAATTCTTTTTATGGGGGTAATACTTGTACCTGCTATATTGTTTTCAGATTTTCACATCTTTTAAATTTAAGTGAAAAACTGAAACACTATGTACTGTGAGTTCAATGGGCTCTGATTGGAGTAATGCTTTCTAGGACTTGTGATAATTTAGAACACTCCAGACTGTGTGGTGTGCCCTGGATCTGGTTGGTCGCTCATTTTCCCCCACAGATTGTAACGCCTTCACAAAAATCACTTGGGGAACCTCAGTTTCACAGTACCTCTCTTTGGCATCATTTGTACTACTTGATAGTTTTATATCAGATTAGTGATTACAGTGTCATTACCACCCAGTGAGATGAAATGAATCAGTAAGAATCTCAGCTTTTGTTTTGATTTGACCTGCACAGCCAGTAAAGTGAATTTATAATTTGATTTAAAAAAAAAAATAGTTATACATATGTGAGGTTATCTTTCTCCCTTGCATGTATACTCACAACTTTTAAGGGAAATTATGTCAAAAACATTAATTAACAACTTTAAAGCTGTCCAACTTCCCAGATATTATGTCTGCAGTGGCAGTCATTCATTGTTGTTAATTTTGATCAAATGGAATTTAGAAATGGAAATTTTTTCTGCCCCACATTTCTATGCACAGTCTATACTGTCCAGTTCAAGGCTATAGCCATCTTAGCAGCCTATCGGTATAACAGCTTCCAAGTGTTAAATTTGACAGCTACAAAAATACCTCCTCTGCAGACAGGGGACTTCAGTTTGCATTTTCCTTCATTTCCCGAAGAAACAATGTGTTACTTGTATCCTGGGACCTAGTTCTCCTTTCCGATCTTAAGGTTGCTTCTCATGCAAGAACTGTGAAGTTTCCTGGTGGATGTCTTGTGGCTAAAAGAATTTCCAGATGCACTTCCCCACCCTGAGCTGAGCTGGTTGTGGAACCTCTGCTCTGGCTGATTCCTGATGCACCTCAAGATCGCATCAGTGGAATGTTAATCCAAGAACCAGCACTGAAAGGGAGCCCAAAAGGCCGAAAGAGTGGGATGGAAGGAGTCTCTTTTAATGGCTACCACAAGCCTCGTTGTTTATTGTTACTCAAGTTTTAAGTGTCTTGAAATCCTCTTTCAGTATTTCTAGGTAGAGAAAGAGTAGATAGGTCAGCCAGCAAAATCATGCAGCGCAGTGACTCCGAAATAATGGATCAGGGAGGCACATCAGTTAGTGTCAAAGTTTTCAGGTAAGCAAATTTCTTGGAGGTTTTCTGATTTGATATTATTTATAGCAACATTCTCCATTAACTGGCACTACTACTAGTAAGACAACTTTTGATTTATAGCCACAATACCCCAAGAGTATCAGTGAGCATTCCAGTTCACAGTACTGAGATCCCTATTCCATATATATTCAGTAGGTTTCTACCATGAATGAAAGCATGCTTTAAGAGCAGAAAATTTAATATGCCCTGGATCCTCCAGAAAGTGCTGTGTCATGGATCTCTCACTTTGTTGCTGAAGGCACTTTTAGAATTTTAATAGGCAGTTGACACAACAAAATGGCTGACATGTGGGTGAAGTGTAATCATAGAACACTGGGAAGTTCTGTGAAATATTAGAAGATTCCAAGCTGAGTATTGTTCTGTGACGGAAACAGCTATTTCTACATGGGTGCTCCCTGCAGGCACAAATGTAGTGCCTCCTGGACTGTTCAAAAGCACCTTTTCCTCCAATAGTTTGGACTGGTTCTTTTTCTTTGGGGAAGAAGTAAGTGGACATCAGGGAACACAATAGTAGGTGCTAAGTCACTGCTGTATGCATTCAAAAGAATCCAATGGAGCCTCTCCCGAAATACTAAACCTATATTAAAAGAAGTACTTGTAGTTTAGCAACATTTGAAAATGTTCCAAACTATTTCTGCCTTCTATGAATTATGGGCTTTTTGTATTGAGGCTGTTGATGCAAAGCAACTGAAAATAAAGCCACTGTTAGCCTAGGCTGAGGCATGTTAGACAAGTTGTTTACATCTGCCTTGGTCCAGAAGTAAGATCCAAAAAGCCCAGAACACAATCCACGCAATACCAACCCAATGTCACAACATGCTCACCTTTTCTCCTTTGTTATCCCATCTCTGATTACTGTGTAATATATCACAGCCCCTGATCTGGAAAGGATCTCCATGAGATAGAAGCAAAACAAATAGTTTGACCCTAATATCTCTAGAAGTGCCTGAGATTGCAGTACTATCCACTTTCATTCAGAAATAACCCCTAACTCAGTGCTATTTGCAGCCCAGTCCTATGTACTATTTCCACAGAAGTAGGACTGTTACCTTAGGGATACTTTCTTGGCAAAGGTCCAGTGAAATCAGTGGCATCTCAACTATGTGATTAGGATCAAGCTATTTGCCTCATCAAGTATCTTAGTTCTTTAGTATAGTTATGGGTCTGTGTAACTCAAAAGTTCCTGATAAAAAGAATTGTCTGTTATCCCCAGCTGAAATGCCCATTTGCTCACCTCATCTCTGAATTAACTCCTGCGGGGCTTCTCTCTGGTTTTATGACAATGAGTTATCTGCCCTGTGAAGGTCCCATCATTTTCTATATGCCTCACTTGATTATCAGTGATGTGCTCAGCTCATACAAATGATGTTTCTTTTTACTGGAGCAGTACCCACAGTGAAAGCTCTTTCAACAAAAAGGTGTGGAGGTAGCATTATGGTCTGGCAGAGGTAACCTGGTAGGTTGCATGTTGAAAGTTTCTCGGTTTGATACGAGGGCAGCAAAACCAGCAGGAGGACATCTGCCCCAGCCAGCATTCTTACTCCATCCTGACTTTTCCAGACTTGAGATCAGCGAAGGCTCTCCTCCAAAGATCTCTCCGGAGCCGGTAGCGACTCCAGAAGCACAGCCTGAGCGTGAGCCGGAACCAACGGCAGAACCAGAGCCAGACGCACCACCTCCACCGCCTCCTCCACCGCCGCCACCACCACCTCCCAGACGAATGGCTGAACTAACGGTTGGAATCAATGGGTGAGAACCTTTTCTGGAGGGGGGGGGTATGCCTCAGGTATGTAATTGCAGGTCCTCAAAGGTCACTTGTGAGGAGGGGGTTCTTTTTGAAGACGTTGGAGGGAATCAGATGGATAACTTCTTTATTTTGTCTTTGCACCTGCGGCTTTCGAATTCTCCACCTTTGGGAACGCTTCTGGCATGTCGCCCCCCCCCCACGCAGTGCAGAGGGTTCTGGGACCTGTTCTAGGGCACTCTTCTGGTCTACTGGGCAGTCCTTTGGGGCCTCCCCACATTCCAAAATTGATGTGGCCACACATTTCAGGGGGAGAACCATCAGTGGGAAGTTGTCCTTCAGCAAAGTCACTGTCTTCTCTTTGCAGTCCTTATTTATGTATTTACGTTATTTCTCCCGTGGACTCAAGGCAGATTACACAGAGTGAGTCAATACAGTCAACTGGATGGGACATTCAGGAAACCGCGAAATAGGATCTGCGTTGGGGAACCAACCAAAAATACAAAAAAACTGCAGAGCTGTAGCAAAGCACAAGTGTTAACATGACACATTAAAGGATGCAAGACTGTGCAGCAGGATCCAGCTTACAAACTATACACAGTAGTATAGATCACAGTCCCTAATAAGAGCCAGTCTGGTGTAGTGGTTAAGAGCGGCAGACTCCAATCTGGAGAACTGGGTTTGATTCCCCACTCCTCCACTTGCAGCCAGCTGGGTGACCTTGGGTCAGTCACAGTTCTCTCAGAGCTCTCTCAGCCCCGCCTACCTCACAGGGTGTCTGTTGTGAGGAGAGGAATGGAAGGAGACTGTGAGCTGCTCTGAGACTCCAAGTGAAGGATGGGGTATAAATCCAAGTCTTCTTCTTTGTCCAAGTAATCTTGTGAATAGTTTTGCACCATGCTGCCCCAAGGTTCCCTGGAGCAACTTCTAGCATGTAGTTTCCTGCATGCACTGTTGAAATAGGTTTGATCAGTAAAAGAATGTTGCATTTGATGCAACTTTTGGGGTCTCTCCTACAGTGTCTGTTGAGGTGGCTTCAGCGTGGTGGGAATGATTTTTTTAGCTAAGGAAGCCTTCACTGCCACAAGGAGAGAGCCCGTTTTAGTTGTCCACTTGTTTCATATAGAAGGGGCTAAGAGCCTTCCTGTGGCAACAGATTTGCTTCTTTCCTTTTGCAGCTTTGGACGCATCGGGCGCTTGGTCCTCCGAGCCTGCGTAGAGAAAGGGATCAAAGTCGTGGCTGTCAATGACCCTTTCATCGACCTCAACTATATGGTAAGGCTTAGTTGTGGGATTGCCGGACTCCGAAGCGTTTAAGCAGACTCTTGGTTAATTTTTTTTTTTTGACAAACTGAAGAGGAGGTGGCATTCGTTTGTCTGATTTACATCCTACCTCGTGGCCGAGAGTGGCTTACAGCAGATTTCCAAACGCATTTCTACCTCCAAGCGACTGTAGACTGCTTTTATTACAACTTATCGTCAGGGGACCAGAGCTGAGTCTCAGCAGTGGTAGAGAGCGATGCTCCCTCTAAGCTGTGGAGTCTTGTGAGCAACAATTCTACTTTGTGACTTACTGGCATTAAAGTTGTGAGTGGAGCCACCCTTCCTGAGCTAAGACAGAAATGCTCACACTAACTCAGCTGAGAGGGAACACTGGTAGAGAGATGGTGTCTCTGGAGCACGCTGCCCAGGGGATACAGTTGAGTCTTCATACCCATCTGCTGCAGTGGCCTCCCTCTCCAGCAGCGGCTCTGGCTGCTGATAGAATCCATCAGGAAATGTGCTGCAGAGGGGTGGGTGGGGCCAAAGCTCCGATGTGGGAAAGCTAGAGTACACTGAGCAGACACAAGAACAAATTTAGCGCCACATTCCTTGATTTTCTCATAGCTTGAACTCAACTGCAGCAAAACTGGAAAATATATATATATATATATATATATATATATATATATATATATATATTCCCCTTTTGGGCTGTATGCAGGTATTTAAGCTTATTGGTTACAGTCTGCTCTTTTGCCTGCACTGTGTCCCAGGTCATTGGCCAGGAGTAGGAAGGAATGCCTAACCTTTATCACTTCAAAAAATGATATTGCAAAGGAATGAGTAGTTAAGAGATGGCTGTTAAGATTATAAATCTGAACGATACTTTTGTAATATGGCAGTGATTTCTTTGTATTGGCGCCGGCTTACTTCGAGAGTATAAATTGGGGGAGGGGGGGTCATTATTTTAAGACTGTATTATGTTCTTTGGAAATAATCAATTTAAAAAAGAATTGCCTAACTCTGAGCACTGATGAATCGTTTTTGCTCCAGGGGCAAATTTTCCTGATGAGAATATAGACGTGGACCTTAATAGATCTGGAATTGTGCTGTTTCCCACTAGGATGTTATGCTCAAATGAGGAGCCCCTACTCAGGATCGCCTAAGCATTGCATTTCGTAGCATAAAGCTTATATTTTGTTCCTCAGACAGCAACTGCACCCTGCTCCCCTCTCGCAGAGACACTGCTAGGGAAAACATTAGTCATATCAGCAGTTTTCTGGGTCATGTCCCATCCAGCATGACACCTAGGGTGCCTGTCATACACACACACAGAGCATCCCTGGGGGGGAGGTGGGGCTTGACTGACTAGCCCAATCCCATCACAAAAAAGGCCCAAACAGGGCTCTGAGCTCTAGCCAGATAATGCAGAAACGATGTTATCCATCTGGCTTAACGTGGATTTTGGCTGACCCCTGCCTTCCTCCCTAGGTTTACATGTTCAAGTATGACTCTACCCACGGGCGCTTCAAAGGAGAAGTGCACGCTGAAGGTGGCAAGCTAATTGTGAATGGGCATAAGATCTCTGTGTTTCAGTGGTAAGTGGGTATCTGGGAGAGATGCCGTCTTGACTCTCGGCATCCTCCCCCCTTTGTGTCGCTCTGCATCTGGAACGATTGAAGCTTCAGTTGTGTCATTGGTTTTAAACGGATTAAAAAAACTGCGCCAGAAAGTTGCATGTGCTCCTTTGAGGTATGTGCGTCTGTGTTTACATATCTACCGAATCCTCCATAGACAAGCTGGTCTTGTTCTCTTGTGTGGTTCTAAAATACTCGCCACCATTCAACAGCAGTGTCAGAATGAAGCAGAGGAGATCTGGGGTGGTGTAGTAGGTAGGTGATCGGATCAAGGCTGGGGAGGCTCAGGTTCAAATTCCCGCTTAGCCACAAGGGGAAGAAATGGGAAGAGGAGTGATACCCAAACCTTTCTAGAGAGAAATTTGGGTAATCTTCTTGGGGGGGTGGGGGGAGGACTGTGCCCATTGGCTCATGCATGCTGCTGTCCTGCCTCTCTGCGCACGGCTGCATTCCTTGATCCCAGGAGGAAAATTAATAGCAGCCATGATAGAGGCTGGAAGGAATTGCTGTGCAAATATGACTTTACCTGGCAGCAGTTGGCCTGCTAACAATACTAGGCATTGTGAACCAAAGGCTCTAGCATTCAGTCCTTGGTGGACTGCATGAGATAGCAGCTCTTCAGTCTCCCAGCTGAATGAACCCCCCTCGCTGACATATCCCTTGGCTACGACACCTTGTCCTGGGCTGGAAGATGGTATTATGTGATACAGACAGCTTCTGGCCAAAAATGGAAGTAAATCTTAACCTGCATCCTGATGTTTCCTTGTCACTAGCTAGGGCCAGGAATATATGCGAGATGTTGGGACATAGTACAAGGTGTGGTAGATGCAGTTACAGAGGAAACTGGTAGAAACAATGTGGGTAGCCCTCCTTCTAACTTCATTGTCTAGTTTCTAATAGTGATATTCTGTCTGGACTACCAAGTGCAGAAAGCAGCAGCATTTATTTGTGACGATTGTTGCTTTGTAATTTTTTTTCCAGCTAGGAAGAAGGGTCATAGAGCCAGTTACGCAGGCTGTGAAAACAAAGGCAATGAATACATGGGTTGGTCATGGGTGGTGGGTTTTTTCCCCTTGCAATTTCAAGTTAACGCATGGTGCATGGGCGCCCACAGCCAGTCCTCTGGATCCAAGCAGCGGCCAAGTGACTAGCCGGTGGATAATGATGTGCATTTTTGTGTTTTACAGCATGAAACCAAATGAGATCCCTTGGGGTGAGGCAGGAGCTCTGTACGTAGTAGAATCAACTGGAGTCTTCCTCACTGTTGATAAAGCTTCCGTAAGTTTATGGTGGTGCCTCCGGGCTTACTTGCCCAGAAATGAAAAGCAATTTGAGTGTCTTTATGAAGCAGCGATGGGCTCCCCAATAGGTGTTTTGCTTCTAGATCCATTGGCACAGATCTCAGGTGCATATCAGGAACAGCCTTTTTATTACTTTGTCATCTTCATGCATCACACTGTATCTTGTACAGGCCTCCCCCCAACCCCTCCCCCCCCACAACAGCCCTAACAAACCCTGAATTCAAAAACTGAGAGCCAGCTTTCCGGTGCCAAAATCTCCTTCCTTCTGTTTGGACCACACTTGCTTAGAGCGGAGGAGCAGTGCCTTCTGCCCAGCTCCTTTTTGTCTGCCTTGTTGGAGGGGGGATATTGCTGCATCATGAAAGACTTGATCAATCCTGCTCTCTTTCTACAGGCTCATATCCATGGTGGGGCCAGGCGAGTAGTGGTGAGCGCCCCATCCCCTGATGCGCCTATGTTTGTGATGGGAGTCAATCACGAGAAGTATGATCCCTCAAGCATGAATATTGTGAGGTGAGAGGAAGTGACTGCTTTGTAATATCGCCTCAAGGTCAAGGGGTTCAGTGGAAGATGTACTTTGGAAGGAAGAGGGGACAGAACTCTGGCAGTCTGCTGGCTTGACTTCCTGTGTGTTGGGACGCTGGCATCTTAGGTGGCAAGCAGTCAAGAGGTTTTGGTTTTTAAAATCCCCCCATTTGCAGACCCTGCTGGTAATTGTTGTCTCTTGGGCTATGTACAAGTCTGTACACCTCTGAGTGGCATAGAACTCTCTTAACCCTTTGAGGGTGCATGTTGGCGCTTCTGCTTTTGGAGAATTGTACAAATGTCCCTGTTTCCCCTGGCATTCTAATAATTTGGTTGCCTGGAAATGTGTCAAATGACCAGGGCTCTAGTTCATTGGGGTGGACTTCACTAATTTCAGTACTCCACAAGTGAGGTACAATTTGTTGTGCATTTATACTAAGACGCCTAGGCCTCCCTGATTTATAGAGGTAGCAAGATTGTTGGGGCATTCTTACATGTCCTAGAGAAGAGTTGGTAACACATGCAGTGTAAGGTCCTCTGGTTAGTAGGAAAAATTGTTTTCCGTTTGGTTAACTTACGAAGTCTTCCACTATAACTGGCGAGTTCCCAAGAATGTAGAAATTCTTTCTTCTCTCTGTGAGTGAGCTGGTTTTGCTATTGTGATGCTAGTCGCAAGCCCCCCCCCTCCATTTTTACAATTTAGTAAAGATGATAAAATAGAAGTTCTGTGTAAGTCGGTTGGGTGACAAGTCAGCTTTGTCTTCTGCTTGCCTTCTAGCAATGCCTCCTGCACCACCAACTGCTTGGCGCCATTGGCCAAAGTCATTCATGACAACTTTGGCATTGTGGAAGGCCTCATGGTAAGATCAACATGTTCCCCGTAAGACCAGAACTCACCTCCAAGAGCAGATTCCTCTCCTTTTTGGCAAGCTCCCTCATTCCCCTGGCTTCTGTAGATCTAGAAGAAACCGCTTTCAGTGACACTGCACTAATCCACTAATCCAGCATAGACACATTTAGCAAATTTACTACTGTTGTCCAGTCCTTAAATACCTTTATTTTAATTTAGGAACTTGGTACTAGAGAGTTAAATCAGCTTAGCATGCAGCTCGGTCTTCAGGACTGCTGAAGACATTTATTTCTATTTATTTCATTACATTTATGAATCGCCTAATCCCCACAAATATGGGGCTCTAGGTGATGGAGAAATTTAAAACTATTAAAACCATAAAACCATATCCAACATACTATACAGTTAAAACAAGTGGCGAAGTTTTGTGTTTCGTAGTTCCCTCCCATTCCTGGTCTGTGAGTGCTTCATGGGCACTCTTGTCATCAGTGATGACTGGTGTTTCGTAAACTAAACAAGTGCTGCCCAGGTTATTGTAACACTTATATATGCAAAGGGAATGTTACTTGTTCCTGGGCAAATCTGCAAAAAGCTACTCGTTGTCAGAAGTCGCTTCTGACAATGTCTCCTCTTTCTGGTCTTCTACAAGCTGGCTTCTCTTGTTTGCAGACCACCGTTCATGCCTACACTGCCACTCAGAAGACTGTGGACGGTCCCTCTGCCAAGGCTTGGCGTGATGGCAGGGGTGCCCACCAGAACATCATTCCAGCTTCTACTGGTGCTGCGAAAGCTGTGGGCAAGGTCATCCCTGAGCTGAATGGGTATGAAAAGCATTGTGCCTCCATAGTGCTCTTGTCTTGGTGGCCCCTGGAAAAGGCCCCTCGCTGGAAGCCAGATCTTGCTCATGGTCCGTAGTGCTTCACTGGGGCAGAGTAAGAAGCTCTTCACTACAAAGGATTCTGCTTGCAGAGCCTATTGCTTGAGGTCTGTGAATACACCCATCAGGGCATTTCCTTCCCAGCAAGTCTGCCTTTCTTAAAAGAGCCAAACCTTCCAGAGAGCTAATCTGACCAAATGAAGAAACATGTTTGTGCCACCAAAGAAAGGCATTAGAGCAGTAGGACGCTCACAGTGCTTCTGGCCTGATGACCAGGTATGCAATAGAATTTTCCCAGGTCTTGTGTTGCTTGCAGCTTTAGGAGGTGCTAAAAATGTCTTTAAAAAGAGATGTGTCCTTGGCCCCTAGCAGACCCATCCTTTCTGCTTTGATCCTTCATGACTGCATTCCTCTCTCCAACAGGAAGCTCACTGGGATGGCATTCCGTGTGCCGGTGTGTGATGTCTCGGTGGTCGACCTGACCTGCCGCCTTGCCAGGCCAGCCACCTACGCTCAGATCAAAGAAGCTGTCAAGAAGGCATCGAAAGGGCCCATGGCTGGGATCCTGGGGTACACAGAAGACGAGGTAAACAGCACTGGGTGTCTTGAAGAGCTCCTCCCAAGTATGGCATGCTGTGTGCAGGGGGATGGACATTATCAGATAGGGCTGCCAACCTCCAGGTCAATGTTCCCTCTAAGCTGTGGAGTCTTGTGTGCAAAAATTCTGCTTTGTGAGCTACTGGCATTAAAGTTGTGAGCGAGCGATTTGGTGGCTGCATAAATTAGTCTGCTCTGGAGCCATCCTTCCTGAGCTAGGACAAAAATGTGTGAGCCAAAGGCTAAAAAACTGTGAGCTAGCTCACGCCAACTCAGCTTAGAGGGAACACTGCTCCAGGTAACGTGTGAATTTCTTCTGGAGTTATAACTGGTCCTCCAGACTGCAGACATTAGTTTCCCTGGAGAGAATGGCGGCTTTGGTGGGTGGCCTCAGTAGCATCACGTCCCTGCTGAGCTCCCTCTCCAAGCTTCACCTTTCCCAGGAACCACCCCCCAAATATCCAGGAATTCCCCAAGCCGGAGTTGGCAACTCTGTTACCAGACCTACCTGGCTGCCGTTGGTCTGACTTTTTTTAAAAGGCTTGCCCCTTTGATTCAAAGTTGGAAAGTTTCATCTCTAGTTACAGTTCGCATAGTATGTACATCATCAAACTGCATCAAACTGAGAGCCAGTTTGGTGTAGTGGTTAAGAACGTGGACTCTAATCTGGGATAGCTGGGTTTGATTCCCCACTCCTCCACATGCAGCTGCTGGTGTGACCTTGGGTCAGTCACACTTTCTCTGAGAGCTGTTCTCTCATGAGCAGTCCTCAAAAGAGCTCTCTCAGCCCCACCTACCTCACAGGGTGTCTGTTGTGGGGAGGGGAAGGGAAAGGAGATTGTAAACTGCTCTGAGACTCCAAGTGAAAGGTGTGGTATAAATCCAATCTTCTTCATTTGAATAGATGGTATTTTTTCTTATTTATAAATACTTTAAGTTTAAATATCTTGCTTCCCCCTCAATTGATACTTAAATTTGAAATATTTATCTTGCATCCCCCACCCAAACTGATGGAACTCAAAGCTGCTCTCTGCCAAGTAAATCCTGTGGGTGACTGCTGCCCTAGAGAGCTCACTAGGTGGCGTGGCTCCTTTGAGGCTGTGAAATCCAATCTTCTTCATTTGAATAGATGGCATTTTTTCTTATATTTTAAGTTTAAATATCTTGCTTCCCCCCTCAATTGATACTTAATTTTAAAATATTTATCTTGCAACCCCACCCTAACTGGTGGAACTCAAACCTGCTTTCTGCCAAGTAAATCCTGTTGGTGATTGCCGCCCTAGAGAGCTCACTGGGTTGCGTGGCTCCTTTGAGGCTGTGGGGAGGTATCTCTGGCGAGGAGGTCCAGCCTCTTCTCTGTTTTGGGGCGCTTAATCAGGGAGCCGGTGTGTCGCCACAAAACCTCACCCCTCTGTTTCCGGGCAGGTTGTTTCGACTGATTTCATTGGTGACCATCGTTCCTCTATCTTTGATGCTGGAGCTGGGATCTCCCTCAATGATAACTTTGTGAAGCTCATCTCCTGGTAAGGACTTGGGGGTGGGGTGGGAGTGGGCAGGCTCCACCTCATGCATCCTGAATCCAAGCTCTTCCACACCGCAACAAGTGTGCAGTGTGTGCCTGAGGCATCAAGTGGCCATCAGGGACGCGGCTAAATGCGAGGGGACATTTGTATTGTTCAAGGCCAGGATTTCCATTCTGCCTATCCAGATCCCAAAGGGGTTGGAAAAGGCCCGTAGCCAGGATTTTTTCAGTTGGGGGCATTTAAATTTCCTAGGGGGCACTGGCTCATCAAATTAAAGGGATACCCAGCTCCTTCCCTGCATATGCCACTACTCGGGGGCCCTGGGCTGGATGGGAAGTCAGGGGGGGTCTTGCCAGTAAGTCAGGGGGCCTAGCCCCGAGATGCCCCAGTGTAGCTACGGGCCTGGGTTGGAGCATCTCTTTGATGAGGAAAGGCTGAAGAGGCTTGGACTTTCCAGTTCAGAAAAGAGATGGCTGGGGGTGGGTGGCTGTTCATGATAGATAATCTATAAAATTATGCACGGGATGGAGAAAATGGATACAGGGGAGGTTTTTTCTCCTTCTCCCATAATGCTAGAACTCGGGGGCTCCCGATGAAATTGGTGGGCAGTAGGCAAAAGGAAATACTGCTTTACTCAAGGAGTGATTAAATTGTGGAATTTGCTGCCAGTAGATGCTGTGATGGCCATGAGGATAGATCCCTTTAAAAGGGCATTACATGGATTCATAGAGGAGAGGTCCATTCATGGCTACTGGCCATGGTGAGTGAAAGGAGACTCCATAGTCAGAGGCATTAAGCCCAGCAACCTCATGGGAGGGCCCTGGCCTCTCTTTGCAGTACGCGTTGCCTCTCCAGGGCAGCTGTTTGTAATACCGGATGCTGGACTAGATGGAACCCTGGTCTGATCCAGGAGGGCTGCTATTAAGTTCCTGCCCTGTTAAGTTCCTGCCCTGTTGGACGCTGCCAGGATTAACCAATTTGCAGAATGTAGCCTTTTGGGGCACACGAGAACGGTTTTTAACATTTCTTGCTTCTGTTCCTCAGGTATGATAACGAATATGGCTACAGCTGCCGTGTAGCAGACCTCCTGAAGCATATGTTCACCAGGGAGCACAACTGAGCACTGCCCAACCCTCTCTGCTCCAGGCTGTCAGACAGAGTGGTCTCACACACCCCCTTTAGTCCATAGGTTTGATCTCCCGGCCAGTTCTCTGCTTCAACCACAGAACCCAGAACAACCGCACCTTTTTCTTCGTGTGTCACCGTAAAGCTTTGTGTGCGTACTCGTGAATCTGAGTCCTGCTTACCAGAGCAGCTTGTGCAAGCCTCTAAACTGTAGTGAAAGACAACTGCACCAAATTCCCCCTGGAGGAGGAGGAGGAGAGTCTGCCCTCTGGGGTTAAGCATCGGTTTGTGTGGCTGTAGTCCCCTTGAGATCTTGCAAGTGTTAAAATAAAACCACTGAAGTTTATGTGAACCCCCCCAGCGTGTTTGGTGGCTCACCCCCTGCTCTGCTCCGCTCAGACATGGCTGCTGAAGTTCCTTCTGCCATTCGTACTAGTGTGTGTGCCCGTTCCCTTTTCTGGCAGAGCAGCCAAGATGGTGGCATCTGCCATAGCATCTTGCCTGGTTTTCTCACTGGCTCTGGTACAAAAGAGCCAAGACTAGTTCAGAATAAATTGGAGGTGGGCAGCTGCCACTCGCTCGCTTGACCACGGCCTGGATAGGGTGGTGTCATGTCTCATTTCTTACGTAAGTCTTCCCACAGCAACTCTCCATAAAAAAAAAACACCTTGCATGCCTTTTGATATGGGGGATTATCTCCCAGAAGAGCTATACCAAAAAACAGATAATCAGGCAGCCTATGTATGGAATTTCATGTACACAGAAATTGTTCCCAGCATGCATAAGGGAGGTTGGTTTGCCCTCAAACTCAGCCTGTGAGCTTCCAGAAAAGGCCTAAACAGAATGCTGGACTAGATGAATACTTGATCTGCATTTGCAGGCATGGCTTGATCTATCCTGTTTTTATCCCATGTTTCCTAGCTAGGTTTCCCTGCAGAAAGACGTGTGCAAGTTGCTGTCTCTTTGCTGGAAATCTTGTAACCTGCACAGAAGCTATTGGAGGGCCTCTGACTGCGAAGTAATTGCCTTCCTTGTACTCAGTCTCTTTAGAGGCTTCAGGTGAATCTGGCCTGACCTCCAGAGGTCACTTCTCTCCACAGGGCTATTAAGTGGCTGTTGAGAGCTTTCCGTAAAGTGCAGAGTCATGTCTCAGACAGAAAGACCTCAGTTCTGGGCTTGGCAAGGGCACATTGTCCAGCTTCCCTATCTCCTCACAAGTTGGCGGATCTGGCAAAAGCAGCCCGTGCCTCCAATGGGGGGTGCAGTGCTCTGTTAACACTTCAGAATCCAGAGCCTTTTAAACGCAATCAGCTGCTTGCATAGTCTAATGCACGGATTTACTGTAAATGCAGTTCCCAAGACCTACAGTAGACTGAACTTGATGGGCCCAAACCAAAATGCGAGAGGCAGAAAGGGAAAGGGCTCTGAGCTGTCATACGGCTCTCCAGGGTACTTGTAACTGTTGCGCTTCAGAAAAGTTAGCTCTGGAACTGTTGACTGAGAAACAGAAAGTCCATGATAGTGAGGAAGCACTTCCATACGGGAGCAGTTAAGAGCAAGATAATTCAGGATTATCAAGGGGAAATCAACACACAGGCAAGGTTACGATCACTGTTTCCTCTAAGCTGAGTTAGTGTGAGCTAGCTCACAGTTTTTTAACCTCTGGCTCACATACTTTTGTCTTAGCTCAGGAAGGGATGGCTCGAGAGCAAGCTAATCTGTGCAGCAGCCAAATCGCTTGCTCACAACTTTAATGCCAGTGGCTCACAAAGTAGAATTTTTGCTCACAAGACTCCACAGCTTAGAGGGAACGTTGGTTACGATAGTAAGGTAAGGTAGCATTTAATATCAGCTCTGGTGACTTTCTGGCGATCCAGTGTTCCTGGAGGTGTTGCATTGGCCAGCAGAGGGGGCCAAAGACCTGTCACATCAGTTGAAGGCTTCTGTTAACACTCCAGAATAGAGTCTGTCTCTTCTGCAGGGGAACAACCTCTCCTAGGGGAGTAGAACCTTTGGCTGTAACCTTAAGAGATTCACATTTTACAGTGCAATCCTTTGCAAAGTGACTCCAGTCTAAGCCTGTTCATCAGATGCATTTGCTTTGGTCCCCCAAGGCTGCTCGTGCCATGAGGCATCTTCACCTTAAGGATTCAGGAGGATTTTTTTCACTGCAGGTCCCCCAGACTTTCAGCATCAGTGTTCAAAGAAACGGTTCCTCCCTGGTGACACCATGAGGTCTCTTTGGTCATTACAAACACTGTCGTCCTGTTCAAGGTCTTTCTGTCCCATGTGGAATGGAAGGACTATGGTGGTGGGGGTGGTGCATGATCCACTTAAAAGATCATGTCAGCAGGATGAGATCCTTCCGCAGAGAGGAATAAACGGCAGTGCCCTAAATCGGAGCCGATGATTCATGAGCTGAATGCTGGGTTTGCAGCTGGCGCATGGAAGTGCAGAGAGAATCCCCTGACGCACCATTATTGACTAGGCTCAATCCTGGCTTGGTTTGAGAGGCAGATTAGTGGATTAGCAACCTTGTAGACCACATTCTTCCAGCCTGTTCATCATGAAGGCACTTTTCTGATGCCGGATGTTATATAGGTATGCAGTTAAAATCCTCGGTAGATGTGGGATTGTGCAGTAGGTTCGGTCAGGATGCGTACTTCAAGACCTTTGGGAAGATGACAGCACATCTGAGCATGGGCGGAGTGCTTTTCTGTCACTGTCTGATTTGGGATCAGACAGTTTCAGTCATGTGGCTATAATGCCCTGAGTTGTTAGGAGTTGGGTGTTCTGCTAGGCGAATGTGCAGAGTTTGCTGGAATGGCCCCATAACGTGTGAGGCTACCAGCTTACTTTTGTCTCATTCCTCAGAGCAGCTGCTAACAGACCAAATGCTTGACCAACATCTATCCCAGATATATTCATATCATCCTAGTTCTTAGTGAGGTTGTAAAACCTATGCCTGCGTTGACTGTAGGTGGGGACTCCCCATGGAACGTCCCTTCATACCAGTCCACCCACCCAGCGTACAGAGAACTAGATGTCAGAGAGAAGGGTCCAGCCCAGCTTTCTCTGTGGCATGCTAAATTTCCCATGGGATTCTGTGGAGAACATGAGGCCCCACTTGAAATCTGTTGTGGTACAGCCCAGAGTACATAAACTGACCAGACCCTCAACGTTGGCTAGATTTGATTTAAGTTTCTGAAAAGACATGGATATGGCAGTGAATTTGGATATAGAGATGCAATTTACACAGTGGGAAAAGCTGCACCTCCTGTGAACTAGAGACAGTGGCCACTGATCTCTATTTTGGGTCAGCTGTTGAAGGAATCTGGAGCAACCAAAGCTAGATGGACTAGATGACCCTGGAAGTCCCTTCCAACTCTGATTCTATGAAAACCTATTTGGGGAGCATGGACACATCAGGCTGCCACAATTTCCAAGACGCCTGGAAATGTCCGACAGTTAAGAACATAAGAGAAGCCAATGTTGGATCACGGCAGTGGCCCAGCCAGTCCAACACTCTGTGTCACACAGTGGCCAAAAAAACCAGGTGCCACCAGGAGGTCCATTAGTAGGGCCAGGACACTAGAAGCCCTCCCACTGTTGTCCCCCCCCCCCAAGCACCAAGAAGACAGAGCATCCCTTGCCCCAGAGTTCCTATCTATACCTTGTGGCTAATAGCCACTGATGGACCTCTGCTCCCTATGTTTATCTAATTCCCTCTTGGAGCCATCCATGCCTGTAGCTGCCACCACCTCCTGTAGCAGTGAATCCCATGTGTTAATCACTCTTTGGGTGAAGTAGTACTACCTTTTATCAGTTCTAACCCGACTGCTCAGCAATTTCATTGAGTGCCCAGGAGTTCTTGTATTGTTGCAACTGATACCTTGGTGACAGAGATCAGTTCCCCCGGGAGAAAATGGCTGCTTTGGAGGGTGAAGTCTACAGGATTAGAGCCCCACGATGGTGGTCCCTGTTCTCAGGCACTACTTCCAAATCTCCAGAAATTTCCCAGCATGCAGTTGGCAACCCTAACACCTCCCCTGTCAATGTGTGTTGCTGTACCTGCCAGGATGCATGGGCCAGCTAGGCATTCTCAAAACGGGAATCCTGCAGATCTGAACTAGGGTTTAGAAAGTGGAAATCCTCACCCTGAAGAATTCCTTCTGCTAGGTAAGAGAGACAAAGAGGCTGGCTGACCCACAAGGGGAATTGGCTGGCTGAAATAGCACCGGTACGACTAGAAAGACAACTAGGAGGAGGAGTCATTGGTGATGGTTTCTATCCCACCCCTCCCATCTCCTCCCTTAACAGCCCGAGATAATCTCCCTGTAATGGTGTGAGATTCAGGGCCGGCTCACCCGCTAGGCGAACTAGGCAAAGGGACGGAAGAGAGCGACTCCCCACCATTTCATAGGGTTGCTGATTCGGGGTTGATGAATTCTTGGGAGATTTGTCCGAAGAGGGTGGAGGTTGACTGAGGAAGAAGCAGAACTGACATTTTCTCCACTGGAACTGATCTCTGCAACCCCAACAGGACTGACCCCTGCACTGTCGTATCATCATGTCCGTCCCCGTCCTCCCAATCGGCGGAATTTAATTGTACTTCTTAAAGCAAACCGTGACTATAAATCGGTACGTTTATTAATGCAACTGGACACCGACGCACACATAAATATAATTTAGGCAATGTGAAACCCAACAGTTCCTTTATAAACACTGGGGACAGCGAGCGTTTCTTACTGCAATACACTCAATACAAGGCCGCTTGGTAAAAAACCACAATTCCCACAATGCACCTCTTCGAATAATCAAGTCTTGCCCTTCGCCCGGCCGCAAATTTAGGTCGTTCCCATCTTGCACCGCTCGGGACGAACTTCCCCCTTTCAACTCTCTCTGTTGCGCAATCCGTGCAGCACGCGAAATTTAAATGAAGGACTACCGTTCCCACTATGCAGTAGTTCCGTTTGCGCGATGCACGTTGGGGATTGTAGTGCACATGAGCTTGGAACGTGGTACAACGGATGCCAGCACGAACTACAATCCCCGAAACCGAGAGGGCGGGAGAAGGGAGGTGGCATTGTGCACATGCGTAAATGCCGCCGAGGCGGAGGACGTGGGTGCATTTTAGTGAGTACCTGGGAAGAATTGGGGGGCTGGCGGAGGTGGGATGCGGGTCTCTGGCAGTGGAAAGGCAGGAGACTTTTTTATTGCACCATAGAGGCGTGAAATATTTCTGAGAACAAGCCGATTGTGACCTGGCCCTTTCATGGGCTGGGGTGGGCCAGTGAGTCACGTTTTGTGCGGAGGAGATCTCGGCTGAGTAGAGCCAGTTGTAAAAGGGAC